CACCTCTCCATGCGCGGGTCACGAGCTCGCGGCGTTCCAAGCCGCCGCGCGGTGACTTCTAACGCACTCCTCTGCCTAAGTTGGACGAAGACGGAGAGCCGGGAGGGACCACCGCCGCGAAGGAACAATAGCTACTCAGAGACCAGTAGACCGCCGCCGTTTTTCTGTCGCGGTGGAAAGCACGGAGCCGTGGCATCACACGGTTCCAAGCGGGGCCAGTCATGTCGCGCTGTGAGACAGAGAGAGGGTTCCCCAGGCTGAGGCGCGGTGAAAACGGCGAGTACCCAGTGCGAACATTCAGTCTCTGGCCTTGCATTGTAATGGATTCGCTGAATTTGTTTACTGTGGAGGAAATTCGATCTTCTGAAGTCTTAGTTCAGTTGCATTACGACGAGGATAATGTGTGTGCTTTAGTATCCGCCTCGTGTATTTTTGACACAATTCATATACTCATGGGTAAGCTAGCCAACGATGAAAGTGCGCCTCAAGAAAAGGAACATTATCAAGGCTGTCCTCGATCAAACATATAGGTGCAAAATCGCGGATGCTGAGACACAGGTGTGAAGCCTTTTGTTATTGGCGTGTTTTTTTTTTTTAATTACCGGAACTTTTTGGATTTCTACCTCATCTAAAGCATTCACACTCAGATGTAACGCAAAGCTTTGAGGCTTTTTTAAATCTTACCAATTTGTTTTCAGGGTGCTGCTCCATTTACACGAAATATGAGATGAAATGGAAGTTTTCCACATAAGAACATATGATCCTGATCGTGAGAGTATAAGGTAACTTGAAAACACAAAACATAGATATAAAGTTCTACTCTCAAATGTCAGACTAAATCCTTGGACGAAATAACATTGAGTCATTCCCATAGAATCATAGCAGCAGTTAAAAGTAAAAATAACAACTGGGGATCACTTACATTTTGACATTGGGTCTGGGACCCAGAAATATGGAAACAATGACGTCTTTCTCCATGAACTGAACACGACACGTTATCAGTTAGGTCCGGCTTCACGGAACAGAAAAAGACGCCCTTTGCTTGGAACGTTTCCTCTCTATGCGACAGTCTGGAGCTTTGGTGTGTCATTGAGTAAGCCATTACCAAACTATTCCTTATCCATATGTCATTACGTGCTCATTACGGTACGATGTGCTCTGCACCTGTGTAAATTTCTTAATGCGGTTACCGAAAAATTACAGCGGCACTGCATTTTCCCTCATGACGGAAAATGCATCGGCGCTGGCGTCACCACATTGCTCCAAGAACTAAAGCGTACATCTCAGCAGTATTTATAGGGCTTCTTGAGACATTGGTTAACAAAGAGTAACTTGGGCTAGCACGGGGCTGGAATGCCCTATTAAGGTTGCCGATATAACATGCAAAACAAATTTATAACGTGATAGTTCAAGCACGTCACCAGAAACGAAGTTATTCCTTCATGCAAATCGGTGTAAAATCATGTTGTCAAAAGGACACTGATGAAAGAGAAACGCATTCGCTACCAATTCGCTACCATTCGCTTTTTCACTTTCTCGTATAATTCGTATTCGTTTCGGGCTACACTGAGGTAAAAAATTGTTAATTTTTTACAAACAATTTACAGATACAAACAATTACAAACACATACAAACAATTTTTACCTCAGTGTAGCCCGAAACGAATACGAATTACTATCATTTACCTGAGGAAGATTAGAAATGACACTTCGTCGAGCATGTTATAACTTACAACACCATGTGACTCGTCAACTGCCATTATTTGTGTTTATCATCGAGCTCAGAGGCGATGCATCTCGGGGCGCACAATAGCAGTCAAATCGATAGGACATTATAAAGATGCATTATGCGTGTAATCAACATACATGTACGTGTCGTAACGGGGACCGGGGTGTTGCAAAGGAATTCACACAAAATGCAGGATTCGATAGCTCTAGCCACTAGGATCAGGCCATACATCGATATGTAAATGCATACATATTAGGGTGGTCCTTATTTTCGAAAATCGTATTTGGATATCTTGCGCCCCTTCAATCGGTGCCGTTTAACGAAAAAACATGTCTGTCAAAATTTCAGATCCCTACTTCATTATTTACTGGTAGCTCAACACTCGTTCGTTCGTTCGTCCATGTTGGCTCAATGTCCGTTTCGTCGATCAATGTTCGTTCCCTCTTCCTCAGGTGTAACGATTGTCTACGACGCAAACTTCTTGGTACATGGTGTCCCCCAGTGATGAACCCCTTGGCTCCAAGTTCCCAGTAGCGGCGGAACACCTTCAATTAGGGGGGGGGGGCACTGCCGACTTTTGGTCCCATTCTTTCCCTGCAACGCCCATAGGGCTAATGTTAAAATGACAAAATTAAAGGGGGTACGGTGCTCCGGTGCACCCCCCCTCCCCCCCACCGCCTATGCAATCTCCCATCCCGCGGCCAATCTCTCGCCTACTTCCTCCACCGCCACCACATCCTCTAGGAAACGGTCCGGGAAGCGGCCAACCGGACGTTAGAGAAAGTAGAGGAGTTCTGGGCCAGGGCTAGGATTCCCACTCAGCACAAGGGGTGAGCGTTCAAAATAGCGCCTTCCTTCTCGCCCAACGTGAGCCAGGGAGACGGGATAGAATGACAGAGGCAGGCATGGCGCTCCATTCCCAAGAAAAGAGGAAGAGGAGGAGGGATGACGCCGAAGAGAGGAAGAGGAGCAAGGCGTCGGAGTAGGCGCGGGCGGCAGCCGACCAAGTGGAGCTGGAAAGCATAACCTCGAGTAGCTCCGAATCGTCACCACTTCGCGGAGCCGTGAGACCTGGCCCCAGCATGGGTACAGCCACTCTGTCATCCCGAAAGCGTGGTCGAACCACGGCCATCACGCCGCAACTTTCCGCTTACGTCTAACGTCTGACGTGTGTCTGTGTGTGGGTGGGGGTGGGGGGGGGGGGGGGTCGGTTGGACCCCTCTGCCGTTTGGCTCCAGATCGCGCTAGAGCTTTGCGCAAAAAAAAAAGGAGCGTGTTGCCCGTGACGAGAGGAAGCCGATGATATCCAATTTAAGGTCCTAGGTCATTGGTTGACCTTCCCGGTCAGGTCAATGACCCAATGGTCAGGAAAATCGGGACCTACAAGAGCTTCGTAAAGCGAAGCTATCATGTTTTTTGGGGTGCTGATCACGAATTTCATGCTAGTTTTGATCACATATGATGTCTTCATGCATTTAGACCAGGTCGGGTCAGGTCAGGTCAGGTCAACCATTAGGCGTCCTGCCGGCTACCCATAGTAGGTCTCAACTACCACTGATCGCGTCGTAACACGTTACAAAGGCACTAAAACTACTTCGTAAATGTTCAAATGGATGCTAAATTCGAAATCAGCCCGAAAAACTGCCCTAGAAACATGTATAACTCGGAAAAGTGACACGAGGTCATCATAGGTCAATGACCTGACCTGACGTTCAGGTGACCTTGACACCCACCGTAATGCATGGGACGAACATCATTTCACATGTTTGGACGTTTATAATCGCAAAAAGACTAGAAACGCGCGGATAATGAGAGCTGACAAACGCTGAATCGCGACTCCGGCCAAACATGGTCTCGAAAGATAGGTCACAGGTCAAAGGTCATTTGGGTCAGGGTCATGAAATTTTCAGAGTAGGTATAAAATTAATCAACTCGAGGGCACTGAAAGTTTCGTCGCGATCGACCGCTTTTTCCGTGAGTTATTCGCGAAAACCCATGGGGGTCCATCCGACCCCCTACACATACGAGGGTTAATATGCATTGAGCCACCAAAAAGCATCCGCCGATTTCGCTCTTTTTGCTCTTTTTCCACGTTTCTAGACGAATGGCATCATTTCAGGGGGCGCAGGCGCGAAAAAATACAAATTAAAATTTTGTATGGAAATAAGGACCACCCTAATACATATTCATTCATTCAAGTGTTTTATGAACATATCGACCCGGATCAAGAAAACAGCATACTGATGGACTGAAATGCTACCAGTGGCTGTTTGTTGTGGTGAACAATTTCTGCACTAATGAGTAGGCAAACAAGCAAGTCTGTTGGAATTGAATTATAATTACATTACATAAGGCACACGCTAATTTCATGTCAGCTACATATAACGAATCCGTTACAATTAGGCTATGCTGAGTTTTCCGTACTTTGTAAATTTCCATGATGAATGATATGTTAGTATACCGCACGGTTTCCTTGCCTGCATGGTTTTGGTAAAACGAACAAACAAATTCTTATCAACTTCTACTGTACTTAGGTTGCTGCTCCTTTGCAGCACAAAGGTAGAGATATGTAGGTAGATTCTTATCAACTTCTACTGTACTTAGGTTGCTGCTCCTTTGCAGCACAAAGGTAGAGATATGTAGGTAGATAGGTATAATGGGCTTCAATAAGATTACGTAATAAACAATAAACTAACCAGAATCTCTTTACATGGTGATAGTGGAGAGATAAAGATATGATGGTTTTCTATAACATTTTGTTAGAAGATCACGAGCGGAAGACTGCAAAGCAGTGTCAAGTGTCATCAACTGTCGAATAAATGCCAGGCCATTTATAACTCCGGCAAAGCTTCCATTCAAACCAGCCAACTACTACCAGGCATCCTGTGCTTGGTGGTTGAACAAACGTCAGGGTTGAACAACTCCGGCCATAGAGGAAGACAAACTCTATCGTCCAAAGCGGGAGATAAACTCCGTTTCTCCTAACAGGGAGACAAAAACGCTCCGACGTCTTGACCCTACCGAAGAAATGGATGAGACAAATCGCGATCTGCCGAACACCTATAAACTGACCAGGTAGGATGGACAACTGGACACCACACGTGTGTGCCTTCCAACCCGTTACCGCTGAGCCGCCGGTGCAGCGGCCGGCCGCCGGTTTTCTCCACCCGTCCCGACCCGCCGCGGCCCGCCGTAGAGCCGAGCCGGCGAGTGGACCAGCCGTCGAGAGGGCCGGCCGCGCTGCTGACCTGACCGGGCCAGGTTTCACCGATGCAACGCGGAGCGACGACGGCGGCCGGCGAGTGGCAAACGTGAACGCGCGCTCGAACGCAGAGGAGGTGCCCGGCTGCGCTCCCTGACGAGCCCGACACACAGTGTGGCCAGTGAGAGTGCTGTGCGGAGGAGCAGCCGACTTTGGAGGTGCCGTGTGGCACCGATGCGACACCGCTAACATGAGGATGCTTCGATTTGTGGTCAGTACCGAAATCTCGCCTATGGTGTGGTTTGGGAGCACGTGGGTCTTGTGTTTTTCCCTGCTCAGTGTGACATCTTCACCAGAATTACGCATTATGCAACAGCGGTGCCACTGGAGACGGCTGAGCTCAACGCTATCACTGAGGAAACCAGTTCACCCGAGTGTCCTTGAGTGTAGCGGGGTTTCCCGTCTTACGTCGTCGGCAGGATGGAGTGGCGTTGCCAGTGACATTGAGATATAGCTCCACATACAAACACCCCTCCCTCTCCTGAGCGCCAAGGGAGTGAGTTATCGACCGAACTTCCTTCCCGGTACACAGAATGTATTCAGTATGTAAATGAGGACGATTCACTGGTCAGTTAAATTACCGAGAGGATGTCGCGTGCCACAGCTCACTCTTCCACCGAAAGCCAATGTTTAGTCGATGAATACAACCCTACTGGTCTGAGGAACCCGCAAACGGTCGCAATTTACAGGACAAAGCCACTACGGACAATTGGTCAGGTCGGAAACTCAATGCACAGTTGCACAGCCGTCCGTATCCGCAATGTTCGAAAGAATCGCGTGTCAGCCTGCATCTTTCTAGCGGCATTTTTGCCGTTAAATTGATGCGGAAAGGCTGAACGAAAGACCCTCACTGCGGGTCCCTAATTAGGCTTTCTACTTTAACTGATGATTGCTCTTTGCCTCGTACAGCTTGGTCGTGACCGTCCAATCCATAAACATTGGCACCACTAAAGGTATTGAGCCGTGTCATGAAAAGGCTATTGAAAAGGTTCATTATCCAGTAATTGAGGATCGGTGCATTTAATTATACCATGGCCATGAATTGATTAGTAAATGAGAATGCATTGCGTAGAGTTTTCTCTTCTAGAATCACTTTGAGGGAACAATAGCGTTGGAATTAAGCCCATTTTACGATCATCTGTTTAAAAGGACGACGTTAGTGATAGTGGCACAAGACCATTGACTTCACAAACTTTATCGCAGAGTCCAGATAATCTGGCATTTAAAAAAAAAATTCATTGCGGATAAGCTCAGTGCGGGACATTGCACAATAGATACACAACTAGTCCATTAGTCCCGAGTTGTTCAGTCAGACGTTCCGAATGACACAAGCCGGCTTCGAAACTAAATCTTGAGGAAACCCTAGCGTGGGCCATCCTTTTCCTTAACCACGCTCTCAGAGACATGTTTGAACGTTGAACCACTGAAAATGCGACATTGGCGAACTGAAGCGAAGGCGACCAATTTGTACTATGAAGTCATTATTTCAAGGGTAATTATGGCCGCAGGATAACAGAGTTTAAACATCCTAACTAATTGAAGATCCCTGAAAAAATTGTCTGGAATATTGTTCGGGAGTTAGTACGCAGCGAACGACAATGTTCATAGTTCCTACCTAAACAGGCAAACCAAACACGCAACTGTTTGATCTGCGACAGTGACTGGATTGTAGCGTTTGATACAGTTGGAGCTCGTCCGTACATGGGTTGCCATACATGCACGCAGGATGTGTTCTCTCTCGATCCCCACGATGCAAATTGCAAACCATTTTTGTTACATCTCTGAATGGGACACTGATTTTGCTTGTCTGCGGCACAAAATCCTGGGAAGTCCGTATGTAAAACCACCTCAGCTTCTACTCAGCGATCCACTCACATTTAAATGTGAATACGAGCCCGGCCGTCCGGTGGTTTCGGCGTTTCGTTTGAAACCAGCCCGCCATCGCGCCCGGGGCACCACAGAAAAGCGCTGACCAAATGTAGAAATGCCCCTGATCGAGCTGGTCAAATGAGGCCGTATTCAGAATCCCGGTTAGACCGAAATTGTCCACCATGGTGGTGCGACATAAAATCGAAATTGTCCCGAGAAACCGGCTACCGTTTGCTCCAGATTGAGGGTATTTCAAAGAAAACCTTCCGATGAGGATATTGACTATATAGTAGAGCTTAAAAATGTCTGGATAAAAGATAGCCACACCTTTCAACGCTCGCATTGTTCGTGAAAGAAAATGAACATACGCAGGCATTCTTATTGACTTGTTCTGATGGTGGCAAAAGCTTATAGCCTTCTGGCGGTCAAAGAAAAATGCGAATACAGAATCAGCAGTTTACAGCTAGTCCAAACATATTTGAACATTTATGTTACCTCCCTTCATAAACATCACATAATGCACCGCTCCGCCGTCACTCATTCAGCCTGGCTTCCTTCCAAGCAAGACCACGATGATCAGGTTTCTCTCACCCTAAAGTCATGCTCGGTATGCACGACCTCTGTAACCTGCCGCGGGCAGGTGCCGGACTGAGTAAACTATCGGCCCATTTTTGGCCGTTGACAGCCCATCATTGCACCCATAAAAAGGTCGTAAAGGGGCGACCATTGAAAACCCACGGAAGAGATCATACCCTAACGTTCAATTTAGCGCGGTCGGCTGTTGCATGCCTGCATGACTGAAGGTATTGCGCTGAGGTTTGGTTAATGTCGAGAACGTTTCACCCGTTCCGTTGGGCTGTCATCAGCCACGGTAGCGAGCATCGGTGAGTGTCCAAGAGTGTCCACGAGTGCACTCATGAGTGCCCATGAGTATCATGAGCGGAAATGCCTTCACGAGCACACTGTCCCTCCTAAAAGCAGACGCCTGTTTACTGATCGTGCTGATAGTGGTTTCACGCTTGCACAAGAGAGCTGACGTAGCCTCTGATTTGTCGATATAGGCTAAAGGTCTTATTGGCGAATTTCTTAAATGTGTTATTTATTCGTTTGTTTACCTGCCACCTCAGCTATCACAACGAGCCCAACCAACCGGAGCTCAGCCACAACAGAAATCAGTGACGAGACAGTCTCGGGACTGAAGCCAAGAGTGTGGATGGGGCCAAACCAGTGGGGCCGGTGCATGGCTGACCTGACCCACTTGCCAGCCCCGTGCAGTCACGTGACACGTGCTCAGCTGAGCAGAACATCAGTCGAAGCTGCGGGCTGGTGGCGCCGGCGGACCGGTCTTATAGTGAAACCAGTCGGCCCTCAGCCAGCGCAACATGTCACCGGTCGCGACACCGCACCGCGTAGTATCGGTGTCGTCGCGTTTGTAACAACGGCCCAGTATTCGCTGGGGTCGGGCGGTAGGCATTCATCATAACCGCCAATCATAAACTCAGTTCGACGGGTTGATTACAATGACCCTCCGATATCGAAGGCACGATCAGAGATGAAAAGGAGCGTGATTTGGGCGCAGTCTCACACTTTCGCTCACGTTCTGGTCCGAGATGCTATCGTGATGAGCGTCGGTTATCCTGTTCAGGGGTCGGTTTCACTGACGCTTTAGTCGTCGCACGCAGACGCTGAGAAACAGGTTTACAGAAAATGCCACGTTTGGAGAAAAGTGACACTCTCTCCCGGTTTTCGACAGAGACTGGGTGCGATAATGCGTCTGTGTGGATTACAGCTAAAATGGTACAAAATAAGCCACTGTTGGTAAACAGCCTGTCAGAACTATCGAGAGAGCCAATGAAATACGCCGCATTAATGTCGCTATTGAACCACGGATCGGTCCGTTTATTTAATAAACTATTCGGCTGAAAGCATTGTCGTTACCAAGCTATAACGGATATTACATCGTTATTTACGTCAATGTGGGATTATATGGGACAGTTCAACAGATGATATTGCCATTTTGATGGGAAATTAACTCGAAAATTGCTTAGTGGGTCGCTCAGGCCATGTTACACACATGAGTTCTAACAGCTCTTCGGACATTATTCAGCTATAATGACCAACTAAAGACATAATTCATATTATCATCGTCTTCAGCATAATCACTGGCAGATGCTCGCTGTGCTCATCTGGACAAGATTGCCGAACAGACCAGCTGGCTGATATATTGCCATAATAACCATGTTGACCAACATACAGCTGACCAGTAATCAGTCACATACACAGCTTGAAAATCCCAACGATTTAGACACGGACGGTCGTGGTGACTTCACCCAGATATGTCATTGCATCTTTGCACGCAACTCATACCAAACTTGGCACAGACCCGTGCCTAGTTACATAGGTAACCTAGTCTCCAAGGCTTCACTAAAAACTTTACGGGAACATGTGTCTGCGATGCTGAACAACGCACATTACGAATTACGATGCTAGGTCGAACGTGTTGCCCCGATCACCCTTTCCATTTACTAAACAAGCGACTCCACTCACATGAGTAGGCCACATTTTGGCTTGGTTTCCCTATATTCACATCGCTCCGTAAATAAAGATCCCAATTGAAACGGTACAATAGCACAATTTAACAGAACAAGTTGTGGACCTGGATGTCACAGGGAAAGGACGAAGTGACGTAGCGAAATACGTGTTTTGTGCCAACAGGATAAGCGAGTAGCACCTTTTCCTCGTATGGATTAAAATCGATGGGTAGAAAAACATAATTGTTTCAACTGATAACGAGTCTGGAATGACGTAGTTATGCCATTTATTAGGCGAACCAAACGACCCATCCTGGAGCAGTAGGGATAAGAACTTCACGAGGGTCACAGGAAAGGGAACACCGCCGATCGTCTATCTTCGAAATGTCGAACTGAATGAGTTTTCCGATAGAATAATGGTATGATCACCGAGAGCGGCGAAACGCGCTATTGCCTCACGATATGCATCTTGCATATTGTATAGGATTTGTATTAATGCATTACCCAATATCAAGCATAAGTATTTGTTGTATAACAATAAGCCTCTAAAATGAGTGACAACCGTCGTGCTGCAACAATCTCATTGACCAGGAAAGCACAAAAAACAGAGCCCTAACAGAGCCCTCTTTCTGTCTGCAGATATACGGCGCACTAGCGCTGGCGGTAGCGGACCACGCAGCCGCCTTTGGAGCCGGACCCGGAGCCACCGTGCTACAGGAGGTGCAGGCCCCCGACCTCAGCGGACGAAACGACGGCTTCACACACAACCCCGGCAACACGTTCGTCGTATCAGCAGACCTGCGGCCCTCCGCCTCGCTCCTGCAGCCGCAGGAGCAGCGGCCGGTGTTCAACTTTCCCCCGCAACAGCAGCAGCAGCAGCAGCAGCAGGTGGTCAGCCGGCCACCACCGCCGCCGCCGCAGGCCGCACCTGCAGTCAGACCTCAGCCGGTCCCACAGCCGGCTCCGACCTTCCAGCCGCAGAACAACCAGCCACCGCAGAGACCGGCCCTACCGGCGAGTGATAAGCCAGTGTTGGATCAGTCCACTGTAGATGTGCGGGAGATCAACCCTCCGTTCCTACAGCAATACAACGAGGATGGCACCGTGTACCAGCCTCCTCCGCCGCCACCCCCGCAGCCGCAGCAGAGGCCGCAGCCGCAGCAGCAGAGGCCGCGTCCGCAGCAGCCGTTCCGCCGTCCTCCGCCCGGATTCCGCCGACCTCCGCCACCGTTCGGCCGCCTTCCGCCGCCGCCTCGGCCGGGAGGACGTCCAGTGCGTCCCCGTCCGTCGGTCTTCCAGAACCCTCTTCAGCAGCTCCAGCAGCGCATCTTCGGCCGACCACCTGCGCGCGCGGCTCCCAACCGCCGCCGTTTCCGGCGCGACCTCACCTCAGACGTGGATGTTGCAGACGAGATCCGCTCCGATGTGAAGCAGGATCGTCTCGGAAAGTGGGAGATGGAGTACGCGATGCGGAAGGCTGCCGATCCTGCTTCCTTGAAGGACAACGAAGACATCCCTGCCTGGGCGCCTCTGAAGGAGGAGGCCCGCGCTCTGCTGGAGATGGCCTCACGGAGCGGGAGCCAGGGTCCGTCCGCGAACGGTGATCTGCCTATTACCATCACCGAGGTGACTGCCGATAGCCCCGAGGAAGCCCGCATTCCCATCTCCGCCGGCGATGAGGTAGTGATCGTGCGCGTGCCTGAAGAGAGCCTGAACTCGGCGCCGCTCGCCATTGAGTCCTCTGGGCTGCTGCGCCGGTCTCGTCAGTTGCAAAGCGAGGTGACTGCCCGCCAAGGACGTGCCGCGGGCAGCACCGGCCGGGCGGACCAGCCGTGGTGGTCGCGCATCCCTCTACTGGGCAGCCTCATCTACCGCCCGCTGCCCGGCGAGGAGACTACCCCTGGCTACACTCCCTCCGGCGAGGCGACCGTGGCAGTGGTTACCGATCGGGCCGGCTACGACACAGAGACGGTGGTCTCACCGCTGTACGACCCCTATCTCTCCATCGACGGAAGCGGCCGGCCCTACTACCGCACCCCGACCCACGCAGAGCTCGCCCACTACGAGCACATTCCCGACATGGCCAAGCCGGTGCTGAACCCTACCGAAGATTTCGTTGTGCCCGATAACATCGAAGATCCGTTCCGCGGCGGCTACGCGCCGTTCCGACCCGGGTACCAGTATGTGAACGCGCCCCATCTGCCAGCGCCGTACTACCCACCCGGAGATGTCAAGTACCACCGCCGACAGCAGCTGTTCCCCAAGGAGATCAACTACCACGAGAGCACACAGAAGCGTAGCGACGACGGCACGAAGGTGGCGGCCCGGCAGGCAGAGACGACTGTTCAGGCGGCGGAAGCTAAAAGTGATGCCGGATCCGGACTTGGGAAAGTTTTGGCTCAGGCCGCGCAAGATCGCGCCGGGGAACTCTCTATCATCGACACTGGAGATCACTATGCCGTTATCAGCGGCGACATAAACAAGTTCGTCGACTTTGACGGCAAGGCAGGCGGTTCCACGAAGGCACGATCTCTGGCCGATCTGCTAAAGCTGGCTGGATCCTCTGACACATCTGCACCGCACTCACGCGTGAAGCGCCAGGCGAGTCTGTACCCTCTCCTCTCACCGGTCCAGCGTCGTCCGCAGCGCCGTCCCATCCAGCGCCGCGACGACGTAGGCCGCTTCCCTCATCGGGCGCCCACCTTCCGACCGCCGTGGGAAAGCGGTCGTCGGGTTTCGGTGCGCCCCCGCGGACCAAGACCTCTCCGACCGGTGTCCCAGCGTCCCAACACCCGCCAGCCAATCACCAGCTTCCAGCCGCCCGTCCCGCAGCCCATCTTCGAGCAGCACGATCCAAGGCCCGTCTTCCACCAGTCGCACGAGAGGCCAGTTTTCGAGCAGCATGACGAGAGGCCGTTCGAGCAGCATAACGTGCAGCCTACCTTCGAACAGCCGCAGGAGAGTTTCGAGCAGTTTGACGCAAGACCTTCGTTCGAACAGCCCGCTGCACGCCCTGAGTTCGAGCATCACGAAGCTCGCCCGACGTTCCACGAACCGGATTCCCGCCCAGCCATTGAACAGCCTGGCAACGACATCATCACTGGTCCTCCAGCGCATTTCGGCGGCTTCCAACCAGTGACCCGACCCGCGCCTGACGCTGAATCCCAGCCGACTGACGGTCCCGTTATCCACGAACATATCCCCCACGGACAGCCTCGTCCGGTGGTCAGCCCGGTGCCTCATGACGTGCCTCGTCTCACGGTCGTCACCACCGTGCCAGCGCCCGTTCACACAGAGGCAGTGTTCGTGCGTCCGAGCCGACCAGTTCACCAGGAGGTCCACCAATCCACGCGGGTGGTGGAAGATCAGCAGTCGGTGCACCCTCAGCAGCAGTTCGCTGGCAGCGAGCAGCACCAGCAGGTCATTGTCAGCAGCAGCTTCAATAGCCAGCCATCTGTTTCGGAGAACCAGGTGACTGAGGAAGATAAACCTGCAGGATCCTGGGCTTCAGCAGCTCTGGCGGGTCTATCAGCTATTCTCGGAGGCTCGCAGGAGACCACCACCGAACCGGCTCCTACTGTTCCCACTCCTGATGCTGACAGTCACAGCTTTAAGCTGACACACCAGAACCAAGAGGAGGATAGTGCCATCAAGAACAAACATGTTGAAGTACCCAAAGTCGTCGGACAGAATGCCGATGACGAAGAAATTCACAAGGACGAACTGAAAGAAAAATCCACTGTCAAGGTTGTGAAGCGCTATCGTAAGCGACAGCGACGTCCCAGCCCTCAGCCTTCTGCTAGCAGCGTCTCCAGCCACAGGGGCACGTCCCACCATAACGCTCCGACTGTTACCTACCGCAGGCGCAGGCCCTCTGCAATTCAAGCCCCGGCCAGCGATGACGATGCGGCTGAAACGAACGAGCCGGCGAAGCCAACGGGTCCCAAACAACGCGTGACATTCGGCGCTAGGGTCCGACCGACGGCTGGTCAGCGCCGTCGACGACCGATCGCCCGCCGCCCAACTACATCGGAGCCTGAGCCAACGCCCACTCCCACGACGTCAACGACCCAGGAGCCTGTCACCGCGGAGGCTAGCCAGTCAGTGCGACGACCCGTGGTGCGCCTCCCGACGAGGAGCGAACGCGTCCAGGCCGCTGCCCCGAGCCCCGTGCGAGAGATCCCGGCACCACAGCCAGTTCCGACTTCACCGACCACCCAACCCACTCCGCGACCGACTACGAGCAAGCCGCAGACCACTGCACCGCCGCAGGAACAGGAAGACACCCCGAGCACTGGAGGATTCAGACCCGTAGCGGGCGTGCCTCGTCATCGTTCCGTTCCGCCGACCCGCGGTCGGCCGCTCAGCCATCAGACGATCACCACGACAGTTGAGCCCAGCAATGTTGAGAACCTCCCTCAAAACACTAACAAGGATGAGCCTAAAACCGACACAAAAACAAAGGGAGAGAAGGAAGAGAAGGTTGAGGATGTCCACAGCCAGTTGGAGAGCTACCTGAGCCGGTACGCCGAAAAGTACGGCCTGGGTCTCGTGACGAGCAGCCCCAAGACACCGCGCCCTGCGCCCACTGACAAGCCGGCCGCGCCCGTCTCCGGCCTGCGTTGGGCGCACCTCGCTGCGCGATCTCGTAATCCTGCCGGAGACGATGTCGACGAGCTAGATGAATTCGTCACCGGCGAGCCGGACGGAGACGAGCGCGTCTCGGTCGGCAGTCAGTACTCGTACCGCGTCCAGCTGCCGCCCAGCCGACGCGTGCCGCCGGCCCTCAACAGCGTCCGGCTGCGGCCCAAGTCGAAGCTGGCGCAGCTGCTCGGCAGCTCGCCGCGCCTGAGGCCGAGCACGGCCAAGCCGACGATCCCTTGGCCGGCTGGTTACCAGCCGTTTACTGTGAGCAGCACCACACCACGGCCGGGCCGCTGGGCTGCGCGGCGGGAGCGGCTCACCACGCCGTCCCCCACCGCGGCGCCAGCGCCCACCACCGGACCCGCCTGGAGCAAGTACGCTGATGAGTTCACGACCACCCGCCGGCCGACCACCGAGGCGCCGGCCACCAGCGCCTCTCGCTCGCGGCCTATCTTCATCCCGCCCATCAACAGGAAGCGGATCCGGCCGAGGCCGCTGACCCTGCTGCACGCTGGACCGCGGAGGGAGGAGACCACAACGACCACCTCCACCACGGCAGAGGAACCCATTGAAAAGACCGAGGGCCCGACCGATGCGCCTGCTGTGACAATCCCTGCACCGCCACCCGTCACACAGGAGATTTCGCCCGAGCCGGCGACAACCGAAAACGTTGAGACCACGACCGACTCGGCGTTCGAGGACGAAGACCCGCTGGTCGCGTCCTCTGAGGAGCCGGTCGGAGAGTCATCGCTGTTTTCGGTCGTCTACAGCAAGGAGCGTCCTCACGTTCGGCCACCGCAGCCGGAGATCTTCAGCCGTCTGAACAAGTTCCTGGTTGAGCACGGCGAGCAGCCGCCGACCGCCCCAGCCACCGTCTCTGTGACTGTGGGAGCCTCTCCCATACAGGTCCCTGTCTCAGCTCCTGTGGAAGCTCCGGAGAACCAGAGTGGTTTCCAGGCCTCCGTCGAGGCCGTCCCCGTCCCTGTGGCGGTGATTGACCAGGAGGTTCTTGAGGAGGCCGAGGAGGAAGCCGAGCCGGAGCAGCAGCCCCTGGTGACCCCGGATGGTGCCGTGATCGTGCGGGCGGTGCCGGCCGAGACCGATTCCAACGCCGGCGCCTGGGTGCCCACCATCCAGGCGGTGGAAGTGAGCCCAGAGGTGGTCGCCGTCGGTCCTCAGCCCGGCACGGTGGTGATCTACCCCGAGGACATGTCCCAAGAGGAACGTGAGCAGCACTGGCCCCAGTCCGCTCAGGAGGAGAAGGAGGAGGACGACTGGTTCGAGGAACCCGACAGCGTTCACGACCTGGATCTCTCCCACGACGGTCTCGTGGAAGAGGTCGTCTACCTCGAAGATGCAGCCTCCGGCGCTGTGCTCGGCAAGGCGGCTCGTCTGGATGACGATGCCGCTCCCGAGGCGGAGTTCCTCGTTCCCGTCGTCACCGAAGCGCCGGTGGATGAAGAGGACGCGACTGAGGTAGAGGAGCTCGTGCACGATCCGTACGGCGTGTTCTGGACCTCTCCCAGCGGAGCGACCAACGCCGAGCAGGCCGAGAGCCAGCAGCTGGCGGGTGCATTCGCCGCCGACGTCAACGACGAGGCCGATGAGGCTGACGCCGTCGAAGTCGATAGCGCGACTGACGTGCCATCGGAGAGTAGCGCAGATGCCGAGACAGATGATCGGACTGTCAACCTGTGTCTGGATGGAAAGTGTATGTTTATTTATGAGCCGGGCAGGCAGGTGCGAGTGAGCGGTGATAACTAGAGGCGCGAGACGCGTCGGACGACCGCCCACGTCTGTCTGAGGGTGGTCCAATGTGTGTCAGAGGTTAGTTCGATGTGTGAGTGTGCTTCTTCTGCCCCGAGCCGTGCTCTGTGGGTGGGCACCGCGAGTCTGGTGTGATGTCGAGCTGATAGTGTCTGAGGAGTGGCTTTTAGGCTTTGTTATTGTTGATGCCTTGGAAGGGTTGGGGATAAGACGCTGGGCGCTGTAAGAGTGATCACGAAGCTGTAAATGTTACAGTATATGCCAAACTGTTGCAAGCACTGAATGCTATTTGTTATTGACATTGTTTTAGCGAGCTACTCGCATTCCAGGGAGCAAAGGGGAACTTTGTGATTAAGACTTGTTACTTGTTATCTATTTATTAGGGCCATCTCAGCCGTATAGTTACATATCGTGTCGACACATGCCCTGTCTGTGCATGTGAAGGGGCTTCGGTGATCTGTTCCCGTGGCGAAATACCACGGTACATCACACCCTGATTGCTCACTATCCATCATGTGAAAGATGCCGAAATATACAACATAATGAAACAGACTCTCTGACGAACTTTGCATAGAGAAAATGAGGAAGGAACCAACAAGGAAATCGAAACCGCCGCTAGAGACCACGCAATTTATCACACAAGCCAAACAAATGAGAGTTAGGCCATTATAACTCCGGGCATTGTTGCCAAGTGACGAGGTACCAAGGGCCGCAGAGCCGTATTTCCTGCATAAAGCGCTGCCGCAGCGAGCCGCCGCGCCGTCCCCACTCGCCGCGGTGACCCATCACCCCTCTCAGCGGGGGTTCGATCCCGACACGGCGCGCCACTTTCTCCGCCGCCGCCGGAGTCCGCCGAGCCGGCCACGAGCACGGGTCTCCTCTCAATGCCGTCCCAGACGCGCGGGGCCGCACGGGGGGTTCAGACACTTTCGCTGGCCGGCGCGCGCAGCCGCACGGCCGCGGAGAATACCGTACTTTACCGCTCCCCGGTGGTGCGCGCCCACGTCGCCGCCGGCACCGACCAGCTTTCAACACGCACCGTTCAAACTGATCGTCTCTGGGCCCGCGTGCCTGCCGTGCCGGGCGCGACTTTCCAGCCATTTCACATTCCCGGCTCCACCCGTTCCCAGTTTGATCAGCTGCAGTTGCGCTAGCTGCCCGCTGATTCGCCTCCGAGGGCCCGCGGGTCGATCCGTCCCGCAGATAAAACGCAGTAAACGTCTCAGATGATCCTCCCGAGTTCGCGTTGCCTCCGGCGAGCGGGGAAGACTCGGCACTTAACATCCGAACAGCTCCTCGTGGCCGGCTGCCGAGACGACTTTCCTGCAGTTTGACCGCATTCCTGCATGGCGCCGAGCCGACAATGTTTTGCACGGGGAGCCCCGGGGGACGTATAGGCACCGGCGAAATCGAGCGCATAGCTGAGCGCGAGGGGCAGAGCCGAATTCCTTCGCTGTGGCCACTCTCTCGTTCAACTCGCGCTCCACTCCTTCGTAAATTTTGGCAGCCGACTGCTAGAGTCTGCTTTGGCTGTGGAGTTGGTAGTCAGAGACAGCCGTTGTGTGTAAGGAACTGTCTCGTCTACCACAAGACAAGGCTTTGCCTTGTGTTATCATCAACACACTAAAATCATGTGTAAAACACCTAATTCAAACGTTTCGCAACAGTCGCATATACAGGGTGTCCCATAAGTTCGTTCTCACCTAAATTTTACGTTTTTATGCTTTCTTGCTTAAAGGCACGTTGACATTGGTTCGTAACTGAGCTTACATGGTTGCCATGGCTGGTAGAAATATGCTCCACGGTAGCTAATTTCTGTAGACAAAATAGTTTTTGCTAGAGAGCCCGCTTCCTACAGAGACGGCTAGCGCCGCAACACAGAGGTCTCCGATACGGGTACGTCTCAGTATTTAGTCAGCACGTGACCATTCGTGACGATTGAGGGTGATTGAGGCCTACCAGTCTGTAGCCAATATCCATCGCTAACTGGACGCACAGTCAGCAAGTGACGCCGATGATTTGTTGGGAGTCAATCACTGCAAGTTTATCCTCTTTCTAGCCAGCCCTCAGGAATGAGCCAAGTGGCCAAAACTGTGTGGCGCCAAAGTGGCCATCAAAAAGGTCAAAGGGTTAGAAAGTTGGTAAACAGACTTTTCAGGATGGATTACCAGCTGTCTAAGAGTGTTCTTTCGGGGTACATAACTCAAGGTGACTTAAGCTTTGCTTACCGGAGGGCACAAAACAGTCAAAAACGTCTTAAAATGGCTAAACATGAGTTTCGTTATGCCTGAGGCTAAACAAAACTAGAGGGCTGATGACATCAACCAGGTCATCTGGACTAACTAGTCCACGTTCGAGATGAAACACCCGTCCAAACCCGAGAACAATCCCATAAGGGCGAAGGAGGAGGCCTTCATTTCGTCCCGTTATGTTCCTATGCAAAAGGCCCGGGTCACTGTGTTGTGGGGTTATAGGCGTTCTGGAGTTGATCAAGTTACAAGTGACAACCCAGAAACAGTTTTGGGAAGCAGAATGCTTTTCCAAGAACATCTAGGAGGAATTTCAGCCCTCAAGCTGAACTCGAACCGCGAGTATGAACACATTTATAGAGGAGAAAATGGCATCCGGGAGGTCGTAGGCCCATCTTCAGGCAAGACAGTGCATCAGTGCACAGGTCAAGCAAAGCTTAAAAGCGGTGCAAGGAGACTGTGACAGGCATTTGTGGCAAGATCACATGCCAGGCACCTCATCGGATCAAAATTTCATAAAAATTTGTTGGTTATGCTGAAGTTGAGGCTCGTCGAAGCGTAGCGCTGTTCCAGCCTCGAGGAGCTCACGGCGCATGTCAAGTCAGTCTGGGTTAACTTTAAGCCTGCTATGCAGCCAAACATGCCGGTTGGCATGCCGCAGCATGTATTCATGTGTTTGCCTATTAAATGGGGAGCACATTGAGGGGTCATAAATATACCAAAACGCAATGTACTCTGTTTCACATGCAAACATAATGTGAGAACGAACTTATGGGACACCCTGTACAATAGGCACACCCCAAACGATATCACAATAGACGTGGCAACATGAAACCAACTAGTTGTCATGATCTTACATAGGAAAAAGAATGAAATGACGAAACACTTCCGGCTTTATCCAGCTTCTACTGGGCTTCCAGCGAATGTGCAACAGCTTGCTGCAACATTTCAGAATCACACTAGATCTTTCAAGCCAATAACGATAAACAAGAGACGGCTTTTTCGACGTCGGCCCGAAACACGAAACAAACGGTGGAAATTTAGATGAACGGGGCGATAAACACTTGGACGACAGTCGGCGGCAAACACAGCGTCACTATGAACAAATTTATCGCATCTCTATGTTTCTAACCGACAGTGAAGCTAGAGTTATGTCCGATTACAATATATGATCACTGCCTGAACAAGACTTTAATAAACAGTGTGTGAACGGTCAGTGTCTGAGCAGCAAGGCGCATCATCCAGGTCATTATAAAAATGGAAAGCGAGTTTCGTGGGAAATGATGTCAGCAATCGGCATTTAGCCAACGCTGCATAATAAATCAATGATACGATTATCCCAACAACTGACCATCGCATTACTGAGTCGAGCGTGCCATATACTTCTGAAATTCGTGCGACCGCTTAGCCAACCGCTCGGGAATAAAACGTTGGCGAGCATACAGTGCATTACGAACGTTCAATGCTTTACTTTCCAATGGTGGTGGAATGTAGACTTAGGAGTGAGCCACCGTCGTTTGCAGGACCACTTGTCACGGAGGTGACCTAATCGCCGCTCTAAACGGTACTGCTTTATGGTACGGATTTAAGGATGACGACACACCACATGCCACACTTGCGTCCGTTTAGGGAAAGTGAAAACCTGTCAATGATCGCTCGAAGTTTGTTCTTAACGAGACCTAGCTTATCATTCGCAATCTATCCATGATAAATATTCAGAGAAAAACGCCAATCCAGAAGCGTATCGAGTTTATTACAAATAATACCACATAATATATCATGTATCGAGGCCACCGCATAGAACAGGGTGTGTTTAGGCAGCTGGATTGGCAGAGACCGCGCGGCGTCGGCCGACAGCCGGCCGCGGCTGCCCCCGGGCCGTGTCGGCTCACAGGCCGCCACTCGCGATAGATGCACAGCAGTTAGTGCGTTAGAACACCCGACCACACTCGGGCACCGACCTCACCCCACAGCGACCGCCCTCCGTATAAAACCGGCCGACGACACTGGCGCCGCCCCGTGAGATAAGTAAAAAACTGCGGCCGGGCCCCCGGCGCGCCCCGCACCCCTGGGAGGACCGCGCCGAGCCGGCCGCCACGCCCCAGACCGCACCACAGGGCCAGGACAGAGGACCGCCGCGCAACGGGCACCACAGTGTGCCGCAAGGCAGGACAGGCAGCCGGCGCCCGCGAGGCAGCCGGTGAGACAACGCCCGAGGCAGAGCCGTGAGACAACCCCAGCGCCGTGAGACAGCCGTCAGGTCAGGACTAAGAGATGACGGCGTCGGAAAGGCCGTCAACGCAGCTCGTCACTCGCTCCCCGCTAAACGATCTTCCAGTCAAACGATGTAATAGTCGTCTGGATTACAGGATAACGGCAGGTCGGATCACCGCTTACCCGCGCTCCGTGCGTGGATGTAACGTTAATTCGGCGTGCGACGCACATGCCAAGACGAGAGGCAAACGTGATTTCTTGGTCACTAAAGACTCGCGCTCTTTCACCCCACACGCAGCCAGCTTCTAAGGTCTTCTAACGGGCTAGCTCTACCTTTTCACACCCGTATTTGGTCACCAACCACACTAGACGTTTGCCCCATCCTTCAGCAGACTTTCCCTACCAGTACCCCGCTTGACCGGCAGTTCGCTGAACCAACATGATGCTCAACCTTGTCGTCACTCTGAACGCTCATAGCCGCCGACCGCTCGCGGAGACCCACTCAAAATTTCGCCCCACCAGTCGCCAGACTAAGAACGCGATATCAGACGTAGGGGAGGCACAACTTCAAACCACCGAGCGCAAGACCCACAGCACTCCGCCATCCAGCGCATGGAGCAATCTTAGATCGAGATTCTTTTAGGCAGCCAATCAGACCCGTCCTGCCCAGCCCAGCTCGGCTGTGGTTTGATTAAATGGACCTCGCTCGCTCCCAGCCATCCCCACGCCCTTCCCGTCCCGAAACTGGCAATTATGAGTATACGTGCATAGCGGCAACCGAACTGCGCTGCATTCGTAAGCGACTTTCTGAGGGTAGACGGCGGCGGCGGTGGCGGCGGCGAGCCGAGATAGACGCTCCGCTGCAAACCGCAGGCAAAGCACGCGCCGGGAACTGGCCGACGGTCGAGCATGCACCAGCCCGAAGAATCGTGCTCGGCTGGGGTGGTGTAGTAAATCGCACGCTGTCAATTTTAGAGAATCGGCCAGGCTCCACCGCCGCCGTCGTTATCCGAGCCCACTCTGCTGTTATTTCTTCATCGTTCGTTGGTGTTTTAAAACACACAGTCGACCTCGTCGAACCCGTCGAACCGAACAGGACTTGGCCGGAATGGACAGCGGCCGTGTGAGTGAGACAGAGGCTCTGAGACGCCGTCAGAGGACAGCTGGCGGAGAGAGAGGGGCAGCAGGCGACGGGGAGAGCGGTGGCAATGAGCGGGGAGAGCGGGTACGTCACAGGGAGCTGCGCCGCTCGGTCCACCAGAAGCAGTGGCGTCAAAGAGCGTCCAGACCGGCCGCCGGGTCCACGCCGCCCACTGCTCCCTCCAGCTGTGAACAGAGACGGGAGGACTGTCAGAAAAAGCTGAACTGGGCACAATACAGCGCGTGTCGCCGTTCGAGCATGAGGCAGCATTATAAAACGGATCCAACGGATTGGTATGGCAGTGGTGTTGTATGATCGTTCAAGAATACTAAATATGAACTGATTGTATAGCATGTTCATTATTTTATTGTCTTGCAAAACAAAACAACATTTACCTAAACGGTACTATGCTTTTCGAGAACACTATCGGATTGCAGGAAACTGGAGACACCAAGTATTGTTCGGATTACAATGTCTTGGTCGTCTAATTCTTCTAGGCTGTGAATTTCTGATTGAAGCACATATTTTCCTCAACTATGAATCCGGCTAACAACCAACTTTGCTGATTAGACTCGAAGGTAGCAAATTGTCCACATTCGAAACTCGAAGCCAAACGCTCTACTTTCCTCTGCGTAGGTCACATTGTTTAGCAAGGCTGCCAGTACGAATAATCAATGGACGAAACATAAGACTAGCAAAGTGCACACTTTGCCATGTGTTAGGTCGGGGAGACGGGGACCAACTTCGACTTAAGAACATAGCATCGACGAAAAGGATTAGCACCACCACATACTAAAGTTTATCTTCCCCATAAAGCACCGAGGACATGGAACGCCATCAATTCGCACAACTGACACCTGTTTCAAACAAACTTGGCATCCCTTCCCATTCCCCAGCTACAAGCAGTTCACTAACCCCTGCTTACCCTTCTCGTACTCGACTCTCACGTCTTATGACGGCGAGCTCTGCTCACCATTCTCGTTCTTATCGACCCACCACCCTCGGGCGAGTCACTTGCCTCCTCCGCGCCGAGCGGCGGTCCCTGCTGTCCCTTCTCACTCCCCTCCCTCAGGCGATTCTCTCACCTCCTCCCCCTGCTCACCCTTCTCACATCCCTCCCTCGGTCTAGTTTCTCACCTCCTCCCCACCCGCGGCTCATGAGCCGGCGGCGGCGCCCCCTGCTCACCCTCTGACACCCCTCTGGTAAGTCTCTCACCTCCTCCACACCCGCGGCTCGTGAGCCGGCGGGGGACGGCCCCTTGCTCACCCTTCTCACCCCTCGGTCCAGTCTCTCACCTCCTCCCCGCCGGGCGGCTCGTGAGCAGGCGGCGGCGGCGGCTCGACGCGCGGTGGCCCGTCAATGACCTCTGCCGGCCGGTCGATCGGAGGGTCAGCCGTCGCCTCTGCCAGGTCCGTCACCGATTTGGACTTGAAACACTGCAACAGAAGGGAGGGAGCATGGTGTCAGACTTTTATCATGGGCGGTAGGTAACAGCTGTGTCAGGAGCGGATCGTTGGCGAACAGCAGCGAAAACGGATCATGTTGCACGCGCTGTCACAACAGGCGTCAGACGACATATGTCAGACATGTTAACAGGACGCTGATGGCTTGAAAAGCAAAGCTGTGGTGATTTTGGTACATGCACCATGGTTTTAGATCGACAGGAATGTTTTTGGTCAACAGTTTCGCCCACCGAACAACAGGAAAATCGGTTGTCATCACTTCGCCACAAGGGTCAAAACAACATACACCATCAAGATACCAACATCGAAAATAGCTACTGGTCGAAAACCTAAATTACTGACATGAATTGCCATCTAGACAAAACATACCATATACTATTTAATAACGAACACATGTTGACGGAGAAAGAGTGGCTTATACTATCTTGCAACTGCGCATTCCTCGGCGTCATCGCTGACCGATCGCGTGCTGCTTCATAACTCCTCGACCTACGGCGGCCACGACACAGCAAAAGGGGAGAAAGTTGCCCCTCCGCCCGATAGCGGGCGGCATGCATATTAATAACGGGTTCCGCGGACCGACTCCGTCCTTCAATCATACACGCTGCAGCCGCCTCCAATAACAGGCTGCAACGTTCGGTCAGAGTGCGCCGCGCCCCTGCACCCACGCCAGCCAAGGCACCTGTAATGGGCCCACTCTGTCGATTGTTTGCATGATGCCCGTCTCCCCAAACTCGGTAACAATACACCATCGCCTGCTGTCCTCCACTCCGCGTTCGCCGCTCGCTAGCTCTGTCCCGACCTGCCGCACCTGCCCCTGAGTCGGCCGGTCAGCCTTCGCCGATCCACACGCCATGAACGCTTCGGTCACGCGCGCCCAGCGCCGCCCAAAAACGGTTCAGCGGTTGGGCCGGTCATCTTTTTACCGTCCGACGGAGTGGTGACATGGCGTGGCACGAACAGGCTTCCAGACGGGTATAGACGGTGAAAACCGGGGCTTGTCGAGCACAGAACACATGGACGACAGTGTAGAAGGCGAAGTTAACATTGGAAATGCGAGCTCTTGCAGCACCACCTTAAAATGTTTGTGTCTATTCGAATATAATATGGGATCTGACCGCTTTAAGTTGGAGTCTGAATTCCTTTGAACCGAACGAGCCGTAAATCAAATAACCGCCTTCCACGATCAGCACACAGTAAACCAAGTAAATCAATATCATCTTCCAGCGGCAAATTTTGCATGACTGGCACCCGACGACGCTCGAAGGCCACCCTTCACCAACGTCATATCCCGACGGATCCAAGACAGCAGCGGCAGCCATTTGCGCCAACTGACGGATTCCTGGCAACGGCGAGGCCGGCCGAACGGAAATTCGTGCAAAACATTTAGCATTTACCGCCAGTTTACGACCACTAGCGCTCAGCCGGTGCTGAGAAATCCTATTCGCGTCACTTGGTGAGATTGGGTCTGGGTTTCGGTGTCTCCTTCGCCGTCATCACATCCGTGCGGAGAACGGCGACGGTAGTCACAGCCAGCCGCGCTGAATTGTATATTCGCCCTTGGTCGAACAGTCAGCCACAATCCGTGGCAGGACAGAGAGCCAATAACTGGCGTTGAAATGTCTCACCGCAGTCAAAATATCGTCAGCTACCGTCCAAAATCCGACGGTCACATCGTTCCCCATCAGACTGTCTCGCAGCTACCCACCAGACTGTCACACTGGAGTCATCAGACCAGCAGTCACCCATCAGCCTCCATTGCAGACTAGCTCAGACTATCAGCCACCGGCTCATCCGCGCAGGGTATCATCCTCAGCAGGCACTCGCCAGGCGCGAGCGGTCGACTTCGCGGCCGGATGCCTTCCGTCGCCTGGCTGCGCCTGGCCAAAGCCTCGCTCGGCCTAATGAGACCCTGATGGATCTCTAACGGTGGCAGGGGCGCGGCGGCGGCAGTGGCGGCGGACGGCGGCAATCAATGACGCTCACGTGTCGTAGACGGCTCGACAGTTGTCGGGGGGACCTCGGCAGCCACAGCCGCCAAGAGACCATCCGGGGTCACGAGAGTCTCAGGAGGATGTCGAGAAAAAGACGGGGACAGGAAAACGCATTGCGCGCAGGATAAAAATGTAGTAATGGGTGCAAAAAACATGAAGAATAGCACAACATCAAAGGCCACAAGGCTGCTAGAACACATATTGTCCAACCAATATTGAGTTGCCTGGCTCTTATATTACGAAACGCAGACGAATTTCAGTTCCTTCTTCAGCAGAACTGCCGGCGGCTGCAAAGGCTTTTAGTTTCCATAGTAACTGGATCGGGACAATAAGTTGAACGTTGAGAAAGGTACTTTGAAGGTGCTCTTAACGGGAATAACCCGATTTCAGCTAAGTGCCGTCTCTTTCTGAGAATTACTGCCGTCATACCAGCAAAGCGGGCGCGACGTCAGGTCGCCACACACGGCGCTACTAGCATTATGATACAGTTAACAGTACTTTAGTATTTCAGAAACCTTACCGATGTGGCAGCGTAGGTTGAGTATTTAAAACGCTTTATCGGGCGTGATCATTGAGAAAACCATTAAAGATACAGAAGACACTATCAGCTCCGTCACCCGTCCCCATCCTGGCTCACACCGCTCGTTTCCTCAGACAGGACCGCAAAGATTCCCCATGAGGCTGGGGAGCGTATCGGGGTCGTTCGGCCGACAGCGTGCCCGCCCAGCCGTGAGGACCGCGGACCGTCACTGCCACTTTCTGTCACTGCGCTGCGCCTCAGGGATGGTGGGGTTAGGGGGGGGGGGGGTAGATATCTCTGTCTTCGCTGACTGCGACTTGAAATTAAAGTTCAATACGTGAGTTTGGCATGGAAGTTTTAAAGTAAATTGAATGCAATAAAGTATTTGCCACTTTTTAGGCTTTCAGAATTCAGATTTATCAAAACGCTGAATTAAATTCCGTTTATTGATCGTAACACGCATGCCATCTTATCGGCAGCAAATCCCAGACATGTCATAAAACATGAACACGTGCTCAGCGTGTGGCTGTCATTCTACCACAACTACACCACTCGTGACCACAACATGGTGACATGAGAAGAAAACCTGTAATCCGCCATCACATCAGAATTTCATTCACGTACTTTTTCAGCGGTTACTATTCCGAGTTACACCCGACAGCCTGATAGCTAACACCTGTCGTGTCCACTTGCTACAGCGCATCGAGGTTATCGTTAAACACGTATCGCAAGATAACCGAAAAAATCGGTAGGAAGCTGGTCAATTGCATGCCGCGAGGCCTACAATCGGAATGAATGTTTGCTGGATGGCATTTCATGGTGATTGAAAAATAAGCCAGAGAAATATCTTCCCATTAGACCATGGACTAAAGGCTTCTGGAATCAGTGCAGTTGTTCTTTACGGCTTAGTGATCGCACGAGATATCCATGTCTTGATGACCCATTGTCCAGTGAAGCGGTGTTTATGTGTCTAAATATGTGTTGTTTGTGCTCCCAGCAAGGGCAAGCCATTACCAAACGGAACTACAGCCCACCCCGCCCCTTCCCCGGCTGTCTGGCTCCGACCCAGCCTCTTCCGTCGAGGAAGATCTGTAAAAAACTCCCTTTCTGACCAAGCAAAAAACGCCCGGTAAAAAAACAAACAAACAAGACAGCACGAATATCGGCGCTAGCCAATATCATGTGACGCCGACTTAGCGATAAGGAGTAGCGCCCATGGACACTACCCAATAGCTTACGACGGTATCCAGGTAAACATCGCACCTCATGGCGTTCCACAAAACGCGCACATTTCGCTCATCAATGACGTGAGTGTGACCGTCCACAGCCGTGGCTGGCGGTACCACCAGTGAGTAACCGCCTTCTCTGAGTACTCCGGATATGGATCGGCCTTCACAGGCCGTAAAACATTCACCCAGCTGCTGGCGTGGCGTGGCGTCCGACCACAGACGGAGAGATTTTTGACGGAGCTCGACCGATGGATTTCCTTCTGAGTGGGCAGTGCGCAGCCGCACACAGCTGTAACGCGTATTACGAATGGCAGCTGTGACGCCACACACATCCGCTTTATTTCGTTTGGTTACGCAGAAACCTGTCACTCATGGCATGGTGGTGCGTCATGCAGCGTCATTCATCAGTTCTACGGCGCGTTACTTGCGTAATTGTGGTCGAATGTTCCAGCTAGATATTAATCTCTTTGCCCTCTCCTACCATGAACCGTAAATAGGATTGGCAGCGCGAAAAAGTGGTATGAGCTGACAGAAAGCGGAAAAATGCACCCAGTGAGTCTATCAAGCCCTTAAAATGCCAGAGGCTCATATTGTTTGTTGGAATTTTGGAGCGCTTTGACAACGAAGTCAAAAGTCATTACGCGTCCATCCAGGCAGACACTATTTGGATTTAGTTATTTTGCATACCACGTAAACTTTTCCAAACATCACACATTCCAAATATATAAATTTAGAAAGTACGGGTCGCTCCGTCCATTCATCGCCCACCTCTCCCCTCTCACACCACCTACCACGCCCCAACCAGCCCCTCCCCACCCCATCAGCCATCAGCGGGCAGCGGGCGCGTCAGCGGGCAGTGGGCGCGTCAGCCGATATCGGGGCCTCTCGGCGGTCCGGCGGGCCGACTAGTTAGTGGCGGCGGCCCACCTGCTAATTAGCTGACGTGCCGACGGACGGCCGGGCGCACACGCAGGCGGCGTGTCCGATTGGGTGGGCACGGCGCCCGGCACGGGCCTGCACGACCGACGCGGCCGCGAACACAGGGTGAGCACTGAGCAGGGAGGGAAGACAGCCAGAGACAGGGCCGGGCAGGGTGGATGAACGGGCGGGCAAGACCGGCAGACAGCGGAGGGAAGGGCGTGGCAACGGCATGCAGCAGAGAGACAGTCTGAAATGAACAAGAGCCGGACGAACAGAGTTGTGGTGAGGGCCTGATGAGGGCGGTAGACG